CGCAAGACAACTGGCTTTGGCATGATTTATGATTCCTTGGATTACTCAAAGAAAAATGAACCCAAACATAGACTTGCTGGACATGGCCTGTACGAGAAGAAGAAGACCACATGAAAACAGAGAAAGGAACACAAGAACAGAACGAAGAAAGTCAGGGGGACTGCAGAGGCTAATGTGGGTGCTGGCAAAAAGAAGGAGTAAAGATTCTTCAGTGACTTTATCTGTGATGACTATGCAGATTTCTCATGAGAGGATTAATAAACTAAGAACTTTTATGTGAAAAAGAAAGTCACTAATAGCTTACAATCAAGATTATAATCTATCATACAATCAGTGTGTAATTTTGAAGTGTAAATTATTAAAATGTATTATTATCAATAACATAACTAACTTTTATAGAGTATTTACGATGTGCCAAGCTCTATGCTAACTAAGCACATCATGTATTTTCTCATGTAATTATCACAGTGAGATAGGTATCTTAGTCCCACACTGCAGACAAGGAAAGTAGAATTTAGAAGCTTGACTGGGATTACACTGCTAGGGAATGAGAGAATCAAAGTTAAAACAGTCTGACTGCAGAGCCTAAGCTCTTCACCACTGAATTAAGCTAATAAATTTACCAAATAATGTCCCTGCTGTGACCTTAGCTATCATTCCACTTATAGCCCTGACATAAAAATACTATATTTTCTAGATGTCATAACATATTTTTTGCATAATCATTTAATTGCTTATTATCACAATAAATGATAATAGTCACTCTCTTGGTTTAGACAGGGGGTGGGAGGAAGGTGAAGTTTTCAATATTTGTTATTATATATTAAAAACATCAAGTTTGAGACCAATTATCTAAGGAATACGTCATAAAGGACTATGTCTTTGAACATGAAATAGCTGCAATTGTGAGGAGCATGACCACCTGAATGAATTTTTTAAATGAGAAACCAAAAACTACACTGCAGCCCTGGCCGGTGTTGCTCAGAGGTTAGAGTGTTGGCCCGCAGACCAGAGAGTCCTGGGTTTGGTTCCCACTAAGAGCACGTACCTTGGTTGCAATTCGTTCCTGGCCCCGTATGGGGTCATGTGGGTGGCAGACACTCAATGTGTCTCTCTCACATCGATGTCTCTCTCTTCCTCCCACTCTATCTGAAGATAAGTGCAAAAATGTCCTTGGGTGAGGATAAAAAAAGACAAACAAAACTACACTGCATTTGTTGCATACGGTACTTAACCCAACTTCTATAAAGCTTTTTAAAAATCTTAATATATGATTTAAATAATTATAATATATAGTTATCTATTTCCTTCAGAACTGAGAAAATACATTAGCACAACATATACTACCACTACTTTAAAACATACACAACATATAACTACTATCACTTTAAAACACACCACCTTATATTACCTAAATACTACTTTGGAGAAAGTCATGGACCTTTATGGATTTTTAAACCTAACTAACGATGGGTTTAAATGTTTTAACCTTGAGACTTCTGGTCAAGATGGCAGCATAGGTAAATGCAGTATCTCATCCTCCCACAACCACATCAAAGTTACAACTGAACTACAGAACAACCATCATTCAAAACTGCCTGACATCCAGCTGAACAGAAGTCCTACAACTACGGAATTAAAGCAGCAGCCACATCGAGACTGGTAGGAGGGGCGGAGTCGCGACGGGCTGGTCCCACACCCACATGGAGCAGATAAAAATCAGGAGGACACCTCGGCTGGGAAGGTCCTCCCTGAGGACTGAGGGGGTCCCCGTCCCACACCAGATACCCCACTCAGGGTTCCAGTGCCAGGAAGAAAAATCCCCATAACTTCTGGCTGGAAAAACCAGTGAGAACTGAGGCTCAGGGAAGCTGATGTGGCTGGAACCCCAGGCAGCTCCTTAAAGGGCCCACGCATGAACTTATCGGACTCTCTCCCTCTAACATTGGAGGGGAGGCAGCTTGAGGGCACCAGAGATATACAGGGAAGAACTGAGCTGTTTGGCATTGGAGCGAGGGCTGGAGAGGGGACTTTCTCCAGGACAGATGTGCTATCAGAGGCCTTTGTTCCTTTGAGCCCTTCCCTGGGGGGGCAGACAGTCGCCATATATTGGACTCCAGGAACTTGGCTCACACTGGTAGCCCCGCCCTGGTGATTCCCCGAGGCCCTGCCCCACCCAACTTTCAGGCCCACCCAAGCTGTTGCCACTTGCTTGACCATAGGATTGGCCTGTCTTGGATCCTGCTTTAGGTTTTCCTAAATTCTTTCAAAGAAGCAGCATCTGGTCTCAGATAGCCCCATACCTCTCATTAAGTAATACACAGAAACAAACACAGAGAGGCAGCCAAAATGAGGAGACAAAGAAACAGGTCCTAAATGAAAGAACAGAACAAAACCCCAGGAAAAGAACTAAGCGAAATGGAGATAAGCAACCTAACAGATGCTGAGTTCAAAATACTGCTTATAAGGATGCTCAATGAACCTAGTGAGGGCCTCAAGAGCATAAAAAAGGACCAGTCAGAAATGATGGATGCACAGTCAGAAATGAAGGAGGCATTAACTGAAATAAAGAATAATTTACACAGATTCAATAGTAGAATATGTAAATCCAAGAAGTAAACCATTGATTTGGAATATAAGGAAGCAAAAAACACCCAATCAGAACAGCAAAAAGAAAAAAGAATCCAAAAAAATGAGGATAGTGTAAGGAGCCTCTGGAACAACTTCAAGCATGCCAACATTCGCATCCTGGGGTGCCAGAAGGAGAAGAGAGAGAACAAGAAATCGAAAACCTGTTTGAAACAATAATGGCAGAAAACTTCCCTAACTTGGTGAAGGAAACAGACATACAAGTCCAGGAAGCACAGAGAGTCCCAAACGAGATGAACCCCAAGAGGCCCACACCAAGACACATCGCCATCAAAATGCAAAAGGTTCAAGACAAAGAGAAAATCTTAAAAGCAGCAAGAGAAAAGCAGTTAGTTACCTACAAGGGAGTTCCCATAAGACTGTTAGCTGATTTCTCAAAAGAAACTTTGCAGGCCAGATGGGAGTGGCAAGAAATATTCAGAGTGATGAAAAGCAAGAACCTACAACCAAGATTACTCTATCCTGCAAAGCTGTCATTTAGAATCTATGGCCATATAAAGACTTTCCCAGACAAGAAAAAGTTAAAGAAGTTCATCACCACCGACCATTATATGAAATGTTGAAGGGTCTTTTTGAAGAAAAAGATAATATATATGAACAAACAAAATGGCAATGAATACATATCTATTGACAATGGAATCTACAAACAAAATGAACAGGCAGAACAGAAACATTTTCATAAAAACAGAGAACATTTCTTTGGTTGCCAGATGGGAGGTGGTTGGGGGAATGGGTGAAAAGGGTGAAGGGATTAAGAAATACAAATTCTTTGCTAGACTGACAAACCTCAAAGGGAAGGAGGTTGGGGGGTGAGAAGAAATAAACCAAAGAACTTATATGCATAACCAATGGACACAGACAATAGTGTGGGAAAAGGCGGGAGGGAGTGGGGAGGAGGGGGTCAATGGGGGGAAAATGAGGAACATCTGTAATACATTCAACAATAACGATTTAAAAATTTTTAAAAATGTTTTAACCTTGAAATCTAATATCGTAAATTAACATGCAAGATTACAGTGCAGCCCTGGCCAGTTTGGCTCAGCGGTTAGAGCGTCGGCCTGCGGTCCGGAGAGACCCGGGTTCGGTTCCCGCTAAGGGCACATACTTCGGTTGCAGTTTGTCCCCGGCCCTGGTTGGTCGTGCGGGTGGCAGCCACTCGATGTGTCCCTTCACATCAATGTTTCTCACTCTCTCTCCCTTCCTCTCTCTCCCTCCCACTCTATCTGTACAAAAAAATGGAAAAATATCCTCGGGTGAGGATAAAAAATAAAATAACAAAAAAGATTACAGTGCAGATTTTCCTGGAGATATAATGAAAAGTCAAGCAAAATTTGCAGTTAACGAATGCAATCATAGGGTATCCACCTGAAATCACCTTCCTGTCTTTACATGAACCAACCACTTTAGGTCTAGGACAAGGCAGAGTGAAGTTATTTTGTTTTATTTTTCAGAATAGAAATCTTTGAAGACCCTACAGATGTTCCATTGACTTATGTTGACATTTTCTCAAATCCAAAAGATGTATTTTATTTTTTAATTTTTTTTCTTTATTGATATATTAGAGAGACAGAGAAAGAGAGAGGGAGAGAGAGATGGAAACATCAATGAGAGAGAACATTGATTGGCCACCTCCTATATGCTCCCCACTGGGGATTAGGCCCACAACCTGGGCATGTACCCCAACCGCGAATCAAACTGGTGACCTCTTAGTGCATGGGTCGATGCTCAACCACTGAGCCACACCAGCCGGGCCAAAAGATGTAATCTTAGTTGTGCAAATGTTTTGCATTCCCTATTAGAGATTAAGCACTCAACAAAAAGAGGATCTCTTAAACAAGTATGTATTGCTAGCTAGCAAAACAACAAAAATAATAGTAACATCAGAAGATGTCAATGTTCAATTAGTCTACATTCTTGGTGACCAAAAGCTATAACTTTTAGAAAAAAAACATGAATATTTTGTGCCTTTCTCCTAGAATGTAACTTTAGTTCACATAAATCTTAATACTTACATAAATTATAACCAATCCGTTATATAATTAGGGTGAGAGTAATATAAACTTCCATTAGGAGAACGCTAGATTTGTACCAAATTACATAATTAAAACTAAAAATAATACACACTTTCACAAAATGTATCTAACAGAAATCCAAAACTGGAGATAAATTGTCTTGTAAAATACATCAAAAAATAGGTCCAAAACCAAGGACAATCTTTAAACACAGGCCAGAAATCCTATTAAATCAAAGGCAAAACTTGAAGATTGTTTTAGCTCGATTGTCCAGGAACTTAAAACCAGCTTGATACAGTAAAAACAGAGGGAAGTTTCTTCAAAACCACCCATATAGTGGCTGTTTCTCTGCTCCCAGTTCTACCCATGAAGACCAGCTTCCCGCTCCAGCACAAGGGGCACACCATACATATGGAAAACTGGGGAGCGAGACAAATTATCACCCACGTCAGTTCCTCTCCTGGAAAAAGGAGAAAAATATATTAAAAAGTAGTCATACAAAGAAAACTAATATGAAAAATTAAATCTTTTCAAAGGAAGAAAATTGCTTGAGGTAAATAAAAATTAAAACCTTGTCCCTCTAAAATCATTAGTGAATGAACTATGGTGTGCAGTTTTCTGGACAGACGGAAGTATGTCATTTAACTATTACACATTTAAAACACATTTAACCTTCTTGACTGCAAATCTTTTTAAAATCGGTTATACATGACTTTCTTTTTTTTTTTCTTTTACTTTGATTCTTAAATGCGATTATTCTTTAAGGCTCAAGGTAAGAAACACTGTGCAATGATTTACAAATCCTAGCCTGAGATCAGGTGCGAGGTTGACACATAAAAATCCCCTAGGAAACCTCACAAAACTATAGGGAAAAGATTCTAATTTACTAGAGCAGAAGTGAAGTCCAGAAATCTGTGTTTTTTAAAACTTTCCCAGGTGATGCTCATTCATGGCCAGTTTCATGAACCAAGAGTGTAAGAGGAAGAACACTTGCCTGACCATTAGTATTCAGGTAGCTTTATTTCCAATAGTGGTGCATGCATTCAAGGCACATCGACAGGGCAGGTAAGATGTCCCAACATTGAGCACCTAATATGGGCTTTGGTATACAAAGATGAATACACCATGGTCTGTCAAAGAGTTCACATTCAAATAGGGGAGCCAAATATGTAATTATAGCACAATGAGTCAATCCAAGAATAGAATGCAGTGAAAATCTATCACTGGAAAGTAAAAGACCTCCTATCTTAGCCTGGGCTTCCTGGAGGAGATGGCATTTGTGGTGAATCCTCAAGTTTGAGATATTAGCCAAGTGAATTTGAAGAAGGAATGAGGAGGGACAGGGGGGCAATGTGCCAAGCCCCCCACCTCATATTATACATATAGTATCAGGAGTTCATGGTATAAAGCAGGGAAGGAAGGGCTGGATAGGAGCTCAGAGTTCATCTTGCAGGCAATAGAAAGCTGTTACAGCATGAAGTCAGCATATGTCACCATCAGATTTGCATTTCAGCCAGGTGTCTATGGCTGGATAAGTGGTATATAGATTTAAGAATAATAAGAAGTGGGAAAAGAAAGATGAGTTAGGAATCCAGGAACGAATTCCAGACAAGAGATGTTGAAGGTCTGATATAAGGCAGTAAAATTTGAGATTAAAAAAAAAAAGAATATAAATTTGAGGAAAATAAAAGCAAAAAGATAAGGTAATTGATTAGATGGGGATGGCAGTTGGGAAGGATGAAGGAGGTAAAGGAAAGAGAAAAAAAGGAGTCAAAGATGACCCGCCAACCCAAGACTATCCGAAGCAAGCAATTTAGACTTTCCTAAAATGATTAATAAAATGCAGAGCTTAATGGCATTTAAGAGAACTTCTAATTCTAAAAGTCTATTAGTCATTATAATACTGATTATTATATTAGTCAATGAAGTCTTCAAAACCTCCTAAAGTTGCCCTGCCTGTTTTCTCAGTGGTTAGAGCATCAGCCTGTGGACAAATGGGTCACAGGTTCAATTCCGGTCAAAGGCACATAATTCAGTTGCAGTTCATCCCTGGCCCTGGTCAGGTGGTATGGGAGGCAATTAGTTGTTGTGTCTCTCTCACATCGATGTTTCTCTCTCTCCCTCTCTCCTATTCTGTCTGATGATAACTGGAAAAAATATCTTTGGGTGAGGAATAAAAAAAAAAAAAAAAAACTCCTAAAATTGACCTTACAGTAAGTGACTCCTGGACATTTTAAGTTCACATACCTGCTTTCTAAAATATTGCTAAATTCTCTCTTGATGTTAACTTATCAGCTGTAATAGCAGCTGTTGACATAATGCCTGCTACTTAACAGCAGTTCTTCCCTCTTCCAAATTTGCTATTTCAGATGAATAGGTAGGTATGGAAATTAGGAAACTATGTAGTCTCCCCCTCTTCTGAACTACATAGCACTTCGTTTGTAGTTCCCTATGACACTGTCCTCATTCTACATTGCTTTATTCTGAGCTGTATAAATGATTATAGTGCATTATTAAGGTTTACGTGCCTGAGAATAAGAAGGGTCTCAATATTCTTTGTGTCCCTCAACATTAATCTAGAATTATCTGTATTCTAGATGGATAAGGTACTAAAAGGCAGAGATGCAAAATGTCATTAAAGCAGAAAACACTAAAGATACTCAGGTACAATTTGAAAAAAGAGACAACTATCAAAGATAATAAATATTGGTAGTTCTCTACTTTTGCATAGAATTGATTTCTAAAAATCTATGTGAGGGCATGTGTAGCCTTAGAGGGTAAAAACTATTGAAAAATCCTTTGTGTACATGCTATTGGTGCAATTTGAATATAATGTCTAGTAATTTGTATCAACTCTATTTTTATCTTTCCTGACAATTGAACTTCACAGATGAACTGAACGACTTACAACTAAATAGTTTTTTATGCCAAAATTGTTCCATTAGGAACATGCCTGATGGCTTGAACTTTGTTCACTGCAATTAAGTTTATAAGGCTCATACCTCTTATATAAGTTTCAACAGAACTTTTATTTTTCAAGCATATTGCCTCTTACAACTATCAAAATGTTATATCAAAATTCAATTGAGTAGTCCGGCTGGTGTTGCTCAGTGCACCAAGCACCAAGAGGTCGCTGGTTCTATTCCCGATCAGGACACATGCCCAGGTTGTGGGCCCATTCCCCAGTGGGGAGCATGCAGGAGGTGGCCAGTAGATGTTCTCTCTCATTGATGTTTCTATCTCTCTCTTCCTCTCACTTTCTCTCTCTCTAAAATCAATAAAGGAAAAAAAATGTTTTTAATTCAACTGAGTAGCTAAATTGTCACTTTTGTTCAGAAAAAGAAGGCAGTAGGGTCAAAACTAAGCTATTGACCCTCTTTCTCTTATGTCTCAGAATAATCCTTCTCCAGCCTCTGAATACAGCAGTAAACATCTTTATTTCTGAGAGTCAATTAATCATGTGCAAAGTGCAAGTTGGCCAAAATCTCAGAAATTATGAGTTAAGGACTACCTATAATTTAAATATTTACAAAGATAAAGAATCATAAAATTTTTATTTTGTTCTTAAGCTTTTAATAATTGTCTAATAAGTTTCAGAAGCAGAAACGATCTGGTCATTATTCACAGAAGGCCTCAAATTTGCTTCTCTAGGGTCTTCCAAGTCTCTATTTCCTACCTGAATTCTGTACTATATGAACTCTGTGAAAAGGTTTTGCAATCAGGGGCTTGCTGCTACTTTTCTACAATTATTAAAGTTTGACAGACATCTTTTTGCTTTTGTTTTACTTGATAAAATATGGTAATTTATAGAAGATATTTTTAATAGACAACTAAGCAAAGCAGGAGGCCTCAAAATAAGCATAGAAATGCGGTAAGTGTTACAGGGTAAGAACTTTCAACCCAAACCTAATCAAAATTTAGATATAGCTGAATCAGCTCAAATGTTGATTATGTACCTACTATATACCTGGCACTGTGTAAAGCACAAAAGATAATAGTGGATCTTCCCTCTGGAAACTTATAGTCCCATTGGAGAGAGGAACACACAAAGAAGTTACTATAATTGTGGTAAATGCAGGGACAGACATAGACACATTATTGGTTTACTAACAGGTTTGACAGAATACTTCATTTACATCTACAAAATTTTTTCTCTCCTCAGTCTGAACCATATTTACTAGCCAGTTGTCAAGTTCACTCCCCATTCCTGAAATTTGCCTTCTTTGTCTTTCACACCTAGATCAGAAATAGCAAATACATGGCACTTGGACCATTGCTCAGCTGTCCCATGCCATGTGGTCATTCATTCCCAAAAGTTCTCACAAGGTATTTTATACAGTGTACCAGGTAGCCACTAAGAGTAATTGGTACATGAGTTAAACCCATTTGTTTCCCTTAACGAAGTTTAGTTACAATAGTACCAACTTGGCTGATGCTATTTGAAACTTTCGGAATGGGTCTGATTTCTTGCCCAGCCAAAAATACATATTTTTAAATTTCTGTTTCAGCTTTTTGCATTCCCCTTTTAAGCCAACCACTAATTTATTTCCTATGTGAGTAAACTCAAAGTCCAAAACCACTTGCAGAGCAGAGATAACTATGGTTTCCCATATGCAATGAAAAATTATGCACACTTCATGTGACCTCTACTCACATAATATTAACACTAATTAACATGTTTTTAGTATGAACTTAGGTACCATAATACCTTCATTTTGCAAATATGGAAACTGAGGATTAGAGAGAGTCAGGATTTGAATTCAAGGGAAGTTAAGATTCTGGATTGTTAACCTGTACTATGTCCACTTGTCCAGATCCTTCTAAATGTTCCCAGGTAAGGGTAGCACTCTTCTGAGAAGTCCGTTTTCTCAATATATGCTCTTTTAACGCATTGAGAGTAATAGACTTGCTCAGAAAAGCAAATACACCAAAATATTAACAACTAGTCAATCTAGGTGAAAGTTCTATTGGTATACTATTTCCGAAATTTTTCTGAAGGTTTCAAATCTTTCAAAATAAAAAGTTGGAGACAAAAGAGTAATAGACCTGATTTTCACTGGTAAAAGGTGTCATTTCATGACAAAGTCTTAAAATTATAGATGCCTTATAATTATAATAGGACAATTTACAGGTTCATTAAAATATTTTTAAAAGATTTGGGGGGCCCTGGCCAGTTTGGCTCAGTGGTTAGAGCGTTGGCCTGCGGTCTGGAGAGACCCAGGTTCGGTTCCCGCTAAGGGCATGTGCCTCGGTTGCAGTTTGTCCCCGGCCCTGGTTGGGTCGTGTGGGTGGCAACCACTCAATGAGTCCCTTTCACATCGATGTTTCTCTCTCTCTCTCTCTTCCTCCCACTCTATCTGAACAAAATATCGAAAAAATGTCCTCGGGTGAGGATAAAAAATAAATAAATAAATAAATAAATAAATAAATAAATAAAAAAGATTTGGGGGAATGGGAGAA